CTTACTAACCGCAATGTTGGCAGTTCAAACCCACCAGTCGCTCTTCAGAAACCATATACAGGATCACAATGAACTGGAACTGAATCTACAGCACTTAACAGCAACAACAACAGAGGTATCGTTAGCTCAGGCGTCTGACTTTCATGCGCTTCACTCATGTGACTTGGTCTTGGATCTGAAAATTGGGCAGAAATATCACTGAACCTTCAGCTTCATGAGTAAAGAAGATTCTCGGTGATTAGTAACATTACATCAGATGTCAAGAGGGCTGCTAACATTTTATTCAGGTCTGCAGTGAACTTCCAGCCCTTCTGTTTGAACCCAGAGTACTAATCTAATTTTGTTCTGCCTTACTGCTTTTCAAAAACATTTTAAGACCAACTTTATAATTCTTATAATATAGTCATCTAGTACTAATTGTATATGATTTATTTATATTTAGATGTAGTTGGAAGGAGTCCTGGCAGTGTAGTGAGTTCCCAGCTGGGCTGCTAACCCGCAAGGTCAGCAGTTCAAATCTACCAGCAGCTCCGAGGGTGAAAGTTGAGACTTCGTGTTCCCGTAAAGATTTACAGCCTCAGAAAGCAATGTAGTGGGTCGCTATGAGTTGGAAGCAACTCGATGGCACAAAACAATCCTGATACTAATGTGGACAGTGGTAGCTCCATAGTGGACATGTGGACCTCTCACTTTCCATGTAGGTGGTGTGGTGGCTGTCATATTGATTTTCAATCAAGACAGCCCCATGCTGCAGTCCAGGGTTCCATTTCTGGCCAGTGAACTTACTATATGTACAGCTACCACTGCTGGTGTGGTGCTGTAGGATAAACACTGGACTGTAAGACCATTGGAAATGCAAGGTTAGTGGTTCAGACTCACCAACTACTCTTTAGACTCCTATACAGGGTTGCTGTGAGTCGGAACCAACTTGATGATGCTTAACAATAACACCACCACTTGTCTGTTCCACTTGTTTCACTGAGCTTCCTGACTATGGTGGACTAAGTAGTAACGCTTGGTGATCTTCTTCAGAACATTTTGTACTTGTGTGTAAGTGCAGTTGAGTCATTTCTGTATAGAGTTTCCAAGGAGCGGCTGGGTAAGTTTTAACCACCAACCTTGTGATTCAAATGACCTTGTGATCCAGTGCTTATCCACACCAGGACTCTTGCAGAAAACTAGCCTGTGAAAATCCTGTGGATCACAGCTGTCTGATCTTTAATTGAACAGGGGGATGGTGCAAGACTGCACAGTGCTTTGTTCCAGTGTTCTTAGGTTTGATGAGAGTCAGAGGCCAACTTAGAGGCAGGTAGCAACAACATCCCAGTATTCAGCCAAAATTTCCTGACAGTTAGTGACATCCTGAGGCATTTATTCCCTTAATCCAGGGATTAGAAAGATTGCCCATGGGCCAAGCCTTGCCTACTGTCTGTTTTTTGTAAAGGAAGTTTCATTGGGACACAGCCATACCCATTTGTTTAGGTAATGTCTATGGTTGTTTTTACACTACAATGGTAGACTTAAGTACACTTGGCTCTGGTGACCTTACTGCCAGCAAAGCCTGAAGAAGTATTTACTCTCTAGACTTCCAGAGAAAAAGTTTGCTGATTCCTGCCTTAAGCTCAGAATTTGCTATCATCCTTGATTACTCTTTGGAGTGTCCAAATATATTCTATCAGTAGAATGAATTTCCTTTTTAAAACCATTTCCCTCTTTCCTTCGTTTTTTTATAATCTCCCACATGAATTCAGCTTTTCACATTATTTTACATTAAACTGCTTTTCTCACATCTTTGCTCCTTTCCCCCTTTTTATTGTGCCCTGTGCCACCAGTGCCATATTTGTTAAATATTGCCTCTCGTGTGGCGCTGTAGGATAAGCACAATAAAGGTTAGTTTGAACCGCAAGGTTGATGGTTCAAGCTCACTAGCTGCTCCTTGGAAACCCTCCCTAAGAGTCAGAACTGTCCTGACAGCACTTAACAATAACAACAACAACCTGCTCCTTAAGGCTTTCTCTATAGTTTAAGCCCTGACTCCATTTTACAGAAATTCTTTCTAATCATGAAATGTTGTTTGGTGCCATCCAGTCGATTCCGACTCATAGCAACCCTGTATAGGACTTCCAAGGAACAGCATTGTGGCTCAAAGAGAGTTTGCGGTCCAGTGCTTTATCCCACAGTGCCACACCAGCGCTCCATGGAACGTTTCCCCTTACTTTTCCACCTCCTTGTCTTTGTGCAAGGAGCCCTGGTGGTACAATGTTTTAGATGTTAGACTGCTAATGGAAAGGTCAGCAATTCACACCCACCAGACGCTCCACAGGAGAAGGCTGAGACAATCGGCTACCATAAGGATTTATAGTCTAGGAACCCAATGAGGCAGTTGGATGCTGTCCTACAGAGTCTCTGTCAATTGGACTCATGGCAGTGAATTTGGATTTTTGGTTATTTGGTTTTTCTTTGTCTATGTTCTAACATCTCCATAAAATATTCTTTGCCTCCGTTTTTGCCCTCTCCTACTCCTCTCTGTCCACAAAACTCTCACATATTTCCTCAAGATACTTCACCCTATCTTTTTGGGTTCGGACACTCTTTTTCTTTCTGTTCTATATTACCTGTACATCTGTGTCATGCAAGGGCATTTTGCTGCAAGTTGCATTCTTTGTAAGCATTTACATCTCATTCATTATAAATTGTAAGCTTGTTGACTGCAAGGTGCATGTCTTCCTAGTTACTGTGCTCCCTGGAACACTCACCATAATAAGCCGCTGAGTTAATTGCAGGAGGCAGGCTTTTATGTGGACTGAATTATTAGTGATCGCAGGGTCTTTCTTAGATGTTGGACAGTGCTTTGGGGTGTTGTAGATAAAATTCTTGAGGAAATCAGATGTTAGTTTCATGTATGTTCATGAAACTGGAAGGATGTTTTCATTTTATAAGGTATTTCACATTTGCTTAAGTATTTGTGTGCAATGATGTGCTTGGTACTGAGCAAAAAAAGTAAAACCATGCCGTCGAAGTAGGCAGTAATTCTCTTGAATGTATTACGTAATCTACCAGTCAGATTTATTTAAAACTAAACTGTTAAGTGTTCTTCAGCATTCTAAATGGCACAATAACCAACTACTCTAATAAGTTCAGGTTTCCTGATGGCACAGTGGGCCATGTGTTGGGCTGCTCACTGTAAGATCAGCAGTTCAAACCCACTAGTTGCTCTGAAGGAGAATGGTGAAACTGGCTGTTCCAGTAAAGATTTGCAGTCTCTGAACTCTGTGGAGCAGGTCTACGCTGACCTGTAGTCAGTGTCACTATGAGATAGAATTGACTTGATGGCAGATTGGTTCTACTGAATTATTAAATGAAATACAGGTGCTGTTAAACAGGTGTTTTATACTTTGCTTATTCATTCATTCATAATTTTTCTCTACAGCCTTTCCAGAAGGTTTGATATCATTGAGCTTATCATACAGAGCTGGTTCTGTTGAGACCAATTTTTGTTGGCTTACAGTTCTGAATTTGTGCTGCTGGAAAAAGTTTATGACGCCAAAACTGTGTGCCAGGTGTTGTGATTTTTACTTCCTGCTAGAATAATATACAATTCATGGGTCCAGGAACCTGGGTGCTGAGATCCTCAGCTTTCTGAATCTGTTTCAGAAATCTGTTTTGGTTTATATAACGCAGTATCCCCACATCTAGCAGTACAAGCAAAAAAGCATTAAAAAAGACACTCCAAGGAGATTGTAATCATTACAATGAAACAGTGAGTGTAAAACCGATGTTCTCCCATGCAAACTATCATTCAATTCACAATAAAAACTTAAAAACAAACAAGCAAAAACACACCAAAACTGGCATAAGTTGCTGAAGATTTGAAAATTTAGTTAAAAAATCTGAAAGGGGTATCAATAGTTTCTAGGAATAGATAAATACTTTACTTTGCTCTCTAGTTTCCTACCACAAAATCAGTCAGTGCTTAGCGTATACACAACTGTGTGAATGAATGAATAATAAACACATTAAATATTTTCTAACTCGGTCATAAGTCAAGAAATGCTTAGTGAGATGACAGATGTGTATACCGGTGATCCAGCAGTTCTTCATATAATTTATACTCGGGAAATCATAAGACAACTAAGCACAGATTTCATATCTAGGTTGCCATAATTCAAAAGTTTGTTTTGAAGTCCTCAAATCTGTAAATGATATTCTTTGTAAAGCCGTTTGCAACATTAAACAAATGGAAATAACCATTTTGCTTAGTAGAACAAGACTGGTTACATTATCCTAGTAGGATACAATGTCTAAAATGGACAAAGTGGATTTCTAGGTAAAGACACAAAGATATATTCAAGATGTGCTATATTTAGTAAATGCAAGTTGTAGAGAAAAATGTTGTGTTGTATCTTTGTGTTTAAATAGTGTGTGTGGTATGTGATTGTGTAAATATGAATGCAGCTCTATTTTCTTATATCTGCTTGCACACATGAGGAATGGTCTAGACATAAGCATCAACCATCATTCACTCTAAGATAGTTATTCTCTGGAGAGCAGCGCCGAGGAGCTATGTGGATTTCTAGTATATATAAGGTATTACATTTTCCCTCTAGTTTCAATTTAAAAAAATGCATATTTTCCTTTTATACAGGACAAAAAACTAAGAGAAAATAGAGTACGTTTTAGGATCATTTTCACTACTATTTAAAATAAGGAATTTATTGAAGGGTTAATTTTCTTCTGGAAAATGTATTTTTTTTTTTTTAAACAATAGTTCATTTCCTTGAGAACTCTATATAAGTAAAAATGAATTTGTAATGAGAAGATAAAGACGTTAACAGATTAGACTGTTATTATATTCTTTAATGGCAGGATAAATAGACACATAGTATAGGAATCTGATTATCATTTGCTATTATTTGTAGAATTTATGAGTACTATAATCAGTTCCCAAGGGTACACTTGTAAGCCAAAGAATACTCACTGTTTTCTCTTTAATCTTATAGAAAAGCCCAAGAGGAAAACAAGAAAGTCGTGCTAGCTGGATGTGTTCCTCAAGCCCAGCCTCGTCAGGACTACCTTAAGGGACTGAGTGTCATAGGGGTAAGTTTGTCCCTGATGGTGGGAAAGGGAAAATTTTATATTACTAAAGCCTGTAATACCTACACATTTCATTTTCTGTTTCTAGGTTAGCTTCAAACTGTTAACACTTAGGACTGTTGTAAACAAATGCCTGTAACTATATCACCTCAGAACCAAAGCATGTTCTAGGTAGTCTCCTTTTAAAATGACCTTTACTATGACCTTTGACTGTATAAGGTAGTCTCCTTATACAGTCAAAGGTCATAGTATGGCTCTGATAGTACAGTGGTTACATGCATCATTGCTTGCTCTCCTGAAGGTTGGAGGTTGAAACCCACAGTTGCTTAGTGGGAGAATAGACCTGGTGATCAGCCCAGGAAAGTCTGTGGGACAGTTCTACTCTATTTCACAGGGTCACCAGGAGTCAGAATTGACTCAAAGACACATAGCAACAGTATCCTACGTCCCTGCATGGTGCAAATGGTCTGTGCTAGACTACTAACTTGAAGGCTGGCACTTCACACCCTAGCGATCCACTTCCATAAAGATTACAGCCAAGAAAACCGTCTGGGGTAATTCTATTCTGTGGTCCCCATGAATTGGAATCAGCTTGACAGCAGCTGTTTGGTTTCATTTATTTATTTATTATTATTGTTTGTAATAACACTTTGGCCTTGGCCTGCTTGTCCAATGTCCTCTTTTGGCATATTATTCCTACCACACTGAACTGCTTGTCATCACTCAGTGCACAGATACCACATCCCTAATGCTGCTGCTCCAAGTCTTAGCTCCAGCATTACACATTCTGTAAAACCCTCTTTGACCACTCTGAACCACCTTCAATAATCCAATCTCTGGTTCCCTTTGCTGACTGGGCAGTTTCCTATCATTAGCTCACTTAGCAATTCACATAACTGTGATTGTAGGTTATTTATTTGATTTGTTGAAGAAAGCCTGCCTCTGTATATAAATTGTAAGCTTCATGAGGATAATTTTTCCATTTTCGTTTCTCACTCACCCTATGCTTCCCCAGCCTTTTTTAGGGATGTGTGACATGTAGCTTTACTTAGTAAGTGCCAGCTGAATGACTGGATGAATGAACTGCTGTCTCCATTGGCATGGTCTTTTCCTACTTGGCAGTCAGTTAGTTCTGTGAAGCCAGTAAGTCTCAATCTTTCCTCACTGTATTCATCACTGTTCTCAACTCACCTAGATGAACTTGACACTCATCCAGTAATCAGTGACCAAACAGTGCTGCTTCTTCCTTCTCACCAGTCTGTTGAGTTGTCCTCAACTCAGCTCAAGCGTGGTCACCTTTAGAAAGGTCCTTACTAATTTAGCATACACGAGAGCGAGTAAAAATTACCCGCACTCTGGCTGTCGAATTTATTTCTGGCTACTTTCAGAAAAGACAAATACATAATTCTCGACATAATCTCCTTGCTTTTCAATACATTTTGTCCATCTGTCAACAAGGTTTCGTATTCCCTTATTAAGAAATGTTTTAGGCTGAGCTGTGAGTCACAAATGCACCACTGCCTTCACTTCTTCATCAGAGGTGAATCTTTGTCCTCAAAGGTCTACTTTCAGGGGAAAGATGAAAGTCTAATGGAGCCAGATCAGGACTAGAGGGAGGATGCTTTAACACCTCAAAAGAAAGTTTTTGCAGAGTGTCAACAGTGTGTTCAGAGGTGTGTGGACGTGCATTGTCATGCAAGAGCACAAAGCCCTTGGATAGCAGTCCTCTGCATTTAATATGAAGTTTAGGCTTCAACTCTTCAGTGAGCAACTCACTGTAATGAGCACTGTTGATTGTTGAACCTTTTTCCTGATGGTATTCTGATAATCCCTTGAGAATCCCAGAAAACTGTAAGCATCCATTTTCCAGCTGATTGTTGGCTATTGAACTTTTTCTTGGTCGGCGATAGAGGATGTTTCCTTTCCATCCTCTTCCGTTTTCTCTCAGGCTCATAGTAATGAATCCATGTCTCGTCACCAGTAATGAGTTTTTAAAAGAAACCTTTTCTTCAAGTATCAGTCCAAATTTTGCCTGTAGATGTCCATGTTCACACCTGCACAATAGTGACCTTGAATGGAAAGCACTGATAATACTGTGCAGCCAACAGAAGTTTTAATATAACTGGGGTGTGGATAATGTTTTATTCATCCTCTGTGTGTGTGTGTGTGTGAGAGAGAGAGAAAGTTAGAGAGAGAGAATTGTCTATTCATAGAAAAAGAATTTATGGGAATACTTGGCATTTGGATTGAGATTGATAATGATTTTTTCCTCATTGGATGTAACATTGACAGGTTTCTATATTGTATTCTCAGTGTAATGAACTTGTTTTCTGCTGTGAGACCCTTGCCCTGCTAGTAAATTTAATAATCTTCTCACTTTAAACAAACAGAACCTGAATGTTTGGTAACTTTAGTTTGTTTTCACCATTTGTCTGCTTACATTTTGATTTCTCTTGGTTTAAGCACTGAAATGAATATTGGCCTCCTGAGTTATCTTTTCATGTTAGACTTGCTTTCTCCATAAACAAAGTCCTGCTGTGTTAGGGAAATAGGAAACCACTTACAACTCTGTCTTTGAGATGGAATGTGGTAAAAGCTTGAGGTTCATCTTAGATTTTATCCCAAAGCTTTCTCTTACTGGAATTGCAGGATTTTATTTGTAGGGCAAAAACCTTTTTTTCTGTGTGTATCGTGGTAACATTTTTTTCTTTTTTTTAAACTTCGTTGTGGGCAGGAAACAGCTTAATATATAGAGAGGGCTTTAAAACATTTGTGGAAAAATGGAATGACTTTTAAAGAATCATCTACTAAAAGGTCATTTCATTTTCCCACAACTTTTCGAAGTCCCCTTCTATGTTAGGATGTAGGGGAGATTTCCAGGATAGTTTAAGAGGGACACCAATACTGTTAATGTATGTACCTATGGAGTCCTGGTGTGGCATTGTGGGTTAATGCGCCAGACTGCAAAGTCGTTTGAACTGCAAGGTCAGACAAGCTCACCAGCTGCTCCTCGGAAACCCAATACAGGGTCGCTGTGGGTCGGAATCGACTCAACGGCACTTAACAACAACAACGGAGCTGACAAGTAAACATTTTTTTTTGTTTTTGTTTAATGTAGCACCCTTTTTGTTCTTTTAGATAGTCTCATTTTATTACCACAAAAATTGTGTAGATTTATTTTATTTTACTCCTTTATAATTGGAGAAATATATATTGTAAAAAGTGAAGAGGAAGAAAACTCCAAATGTCATCTTTCTAACATGGTGACCCTACTACCCCGAAGTTTGATGGTTGGAACCCACGCAGAGGCGCCTTGGAACACAGGCCTGGTGATCTGTTCCCAAAAGGTCACAACCATGAAAACCTTATGGAGCAATTCTACTCAGACACACACGGGGTTACCATAACTTGGAATTGACTCAATGGCAGTTAACAACAAAAACAAGCATAGAGCAGGGGAAGGTAGAATCCCCACTGAATAGTCTAAACTGGTCTGGTGGAAGGAGATGGGCGTAAGATTCATATGATTCAAAAGTGAGTAACTTTTTATGACTAATTGCGACTGTCACAACTGTAAAGGTAGAAGTTTTGTAGCAAAATGGGGAGAGTAGTTAATCTTACAGTCCAGAAACGAAGGACCCTAGGACCATCAAGGGAGAAGAGCATGAGCGGAATGTGGGGACCTTATCCAGAGAAGTGACACCAGAGATAGAGGCGGAGATAGGGACATGGAGAGAGGGAACAGCTGAGGACTCTAGACTCATAGAAAGAGAAAGGCTGTGTGCTGGCGGCTAGGAGGCAGGCTTGCAGAATGTGCCCTTTGGTTGTTTAAATTGTTATATATTCCTGAGTATTTTTGTGTACATTGAAAAAAAACTAAACAACAAAAAAAATAGAGGGACTAGAAGCAAATATTGTTGAATGATGATGTATTGGCTGTAATCATTGCAATGAAATGAAATATGATAGGATGAGTGTAAAACTGATGCTCTCCCATGTAAACTATCATTCAATTCACAATAAAAACTTAAAGAAAAAAATAGGGCAATGATACTTTACAAAGTTATTATGAAAATTTTAAAAATCGGTATAATAAAAAAAAAACAAGCACAGAATTATTATAATGTGCTTATCTTTATCAGACTTTTAAGCTTTGTATATTTTACTTACCTGTAATCTCAAAATGGGGAGCTCTGGTAGTGTAGTGGTTACGAATCGGGCTGCGAACCTTAAGGTCAGTGGTTCGAAACTACCAGCTGCTCCACGGGAGAAAGATGAGGCTTTCTACTCCCGTAAAGATTTACACCCTCAGAAACCCTGTACAGGGTTGCTACGGGTCAGAACTGACTCGACGGCACTTAACAACAACAACAATCTCAAAATGGAGCCCTGGATGAGCAGTGGCTAAACACTTGTGTACTAACTGAAAGGTAATGTAGTTCTAACCCACCAGCTGCTCAGTGGGAGAAAGGTGTTTGTGTGTTTCTGTGAAGATTTCCAGGTTAGGAAACCAATGGTGCAGTTCCATTCTGTTCCATGGGGCTACGGTAAGTCAGCTGAAAGTGAAGAGGACTTAAAATATTTACTGATGGAAGATCAAAGAGCACAGCCTTCCGTATGGATTACAACTCAATGTAAAGAAAACAAAAATCCTCACCACTGGACCAATAAACAGCATTCTTATCAATGAAGAAGAGATTGAAGTTGTCAAGGACTTTATTCTTCTTGGATCAACTATCAACACTTGCGGAAGCAGCAGTCAAGAGACCAGATGACGTATTACATTGGGCAAATCTGCTGCACAGGAACTTTTTGAAGTATTGAAGAGTAGAGATATCAGCTTGAGGACTAAGGTGTGCCTGACCCAAGCCATGGTATTTTAGTAACCTCATATGGATGTTAAAGCTGGATAGTGAATAAGGAAGATCGTAGAAGAATTGATGCCTTTGAGTTGTGGTGTTGGTGGAGAATACTGAAAGTGCCATGGACTTCCAAAAGAACCA